CCAAGACGAACCATGCGAGCCTGGACAACACAAAAGAGGCGAACATAGTGGGTGATAGGGTTGGAAAGAAATAAGAAAGTGAGTTGGAGTCAAATCTTGACATAAATGTACAGTCAGCAGGGCATACGAGTACAGACAGCAGAGCATACGAGTACAGACAGCAGAGCATACTAGAGTAGACTCAACAACGGACAATTTGGAAAACAGAGGGGGACCGAATTTACCTGACAGCAAGACGCGCCTGTTGCAGAGTTCCACCCCAGAAAAAAGAGGTCGTCACGTGATCGAATGAGGTGAGAGTGCATGTGGGAGTGGGAGGAGAAGGGACAGCCGAAGGAGAAAGTCACATCACGTCTTCACGGCAGGAAATGTGGTGGGGAGAGTGGGCGACGCGAGTTAGTGAGGACAATAAGCAGAGTGGGGGGGAATGCACGTCACATATCACAGGGTTCTCCCTTGTACCTATAACCGGTTTTCCTCGGTCTGGTTCGTGACCTAAGCGGTTTGTGGTCGCGAATTATATGAAAATCTTACGAAATACGCGTTAACTGATGGTACTGCACTTATCCGTACTGTGACCTGCATGACGCGGCATTGAAACGATGGCTCAAGGCGACTACAGGCTGCGAAGTTCGTGCAAGTTGATTAAAAGCCCTAGCAGCAGCGAAGGTACACGGTAACCAGGGTATGGAGCTGTTGCGAATGCAGCTGACGATACTTACTGCTACTATTCCTGTTTCGAAGGTACCGAATCACCGTATCACTACCGTAAGGGTGGGGGTAAAATGCCTCTTAGTAAACTGTGACTACTCGAGTTTGGCGATTTAGAACTGCTACAAAACGAAGCACGCACCTGAAAGCGCGAGGAGCGAGAGAAGCAGAAGCGCCCACGCCCTGGCATTCGCAGTGGAACACAACCGAAGCGCCATTACCGCCGGTGCGACAAATCACTTCGGCGGAATCAGCTGCTAGCACAGTCGGCGTCGCTCTAGGTCAAAACGGACGGACCGGACGGACCACGCTGACCAATAGTGGGACGCCGCCCCTTCTACGACGCGGGCTGAGGGAGGACCAGAGTCAAGATATAAACTCGCGAAGGCTCGTTCGACAATCAACAGCGCCTAGTGATTCCCAGACTCGAGGTGTTAAACTCTGAGGTAACCAAACAAGTTCTGGAGCCTTCCGCTTGGGACGGAGGAACGAAGGGCCGTAGGGGGGAAAGGCAGCAGACAGGGGGGCAGATGAGGAAACACGGGACGGATGCGTGGCGTGGGTTGTGTGCTGTGTGTGGGTGACTGGATAGAGGGGGGTGATGGTGTGGTAACGACGGTGATGGAATGGCAGCGATGGATGGTGGGGCAATGAAAAGAAAGACCATCCGAAGAAAGCAGCAAGAACCACGACAAGCGAGAGATGGAAGTAATGAATTTGCGCAACGGCTGAAACTTGAGCGAAAGGCTACCGAGATTCGCAAATCTTTCGTATTGAGGAATCAGTCCAACCTGCATCCTGTCGCGAACGGATCTGCATTGCATTTCTTGTCAATTTGATAAATATTGAGAGGTGGCGATTCGGTTTGGCCGCGAAGAGCTGAATAAGATATTCCCGCGTTTCATGTGATGGAGTGTGCAGTTGGAAAGTGCGTTAAGATCTTATCACTATAAACAGTGCTCTACATTTCTTGTATTTATGCTATCTAGCCTGTGTCCCCCTACTAACGTCAAATATCTGCAAAGCCAGAATTTTTATCTGAATATAGCACGTAACATAACTCTACTCTTTTTTTTTGGAAAGCTACAGTAAAGGACACTAATCATCATAGCTATCCCGTGATGAATATTGGGACTCTGATAGATCAGCCTGACTAGAGACTTCCACGACACCATCTCCAGTTGCGGGCACTTCGCCAGATGTAGGTCCATCCTGACTCTCTCCACCCATTGGTTGACTGGAAACCATCATGCTAGCCGCATCATACTGCGTGTATGAGTGCGGCAATACATAACCAAACTCCTCCGCTGATGTATACACCATTCCCATGTGGTCTGCGCCAGTACTTTCCGCCATGGGGTGCATAGGACTACCAGTGGGGTACATGGGGGTTCCCATGGGGTGCATAGGACTAGCCATGGGGTGCATAGGACTAGCCATGGGGTGCAAGGGACTGCCCATGCTCATTCCATGCATTGGGCTGCCTGTGATAGGTTGGGTGGTGTATGAAAGACCCGCTACAGACTGGGCGGGGCTGCTCATATAGGTTACGGGACTCTGCATTGTCGACCCTGACTGACCGCCGTAAACCGAACCGGACGTGTCCGAGCCTGTGCCGGTTGCTTCGGATTCAGAAACAGAGGCGGACTGGGGAAAGCTGAAGCTCCCTGTCGGCTGGTGTGCGCCTGAAGCCGTACCTACGTCTCCTCCTGCTGCCTCTGTTGCTGCTCCTGCTGCTTCTCCCTCTCCTCCTTCGCCTCCTCCTGCTCCTGCCCCCGCTGTTGCTGCTGTTGCGTGATACATCTGGGCTGGCATGTACCATGAGTTGACTTGAGCGATTTTCTGAGCTGCACCTTGGGCGACAGCTTGGGCGGCAGCCTGGGCGGCAGCACGGGCGGCGTAAGCGGCAGTGGCAGCACCTGGAGCAATATCCTCAGCTTCCCCTTGGACGGCAGCCTGGGCGGCAGCACGGGTGGCATAGGCAGCGGCATAGGCGGCAGTGGCAGCACCTGGAGTAAACTCGGTATAGAATGATGAGGATGTATTGGCCTCTGCCTCGGAACCCGTTACAGAGGATGTGGTAACTGATGCGGAGTGTGGAAACATGGGAACAGTGCCGGCTGTAGAAGGACCAGTATAAGCTGTTTGTACTGTAGATGGTGCTGTACCCGATTGTGTTTCCGCGCCTGTGCTTGCACTCGTCGAGTCTCCATCTGCTACAGTAGAAACCTTACTCAATTCCCCTTCAGAAGGCGTCACTGTTGTTTCACCCGTTTGAAGGCTGTACGCGGAAGGAGTGTATGCAGACGTGGTGTACCCGGAAGCGTAAGGAGATGGGGTGTACGCGGATGGAGTGTACGCTGCTGATTGGGTGTAGACTGAGGTTTGGGGCCCGGGGGTATAAGCCGATGGAGTGTAGCCGGATTGGGTAGTGTAGCCAGATGGTGTATAAGCAGAATAAGGAGTGTACCCAGAGGAAGTGTACCCTGAATTCTCAGCGCCAGATGGCGTGTACGCGGTATAAGAGGTAGTCGTCGAGATTGGAGTTGGGTCCGAATTGTAGTTCGACGACAATGGCGAAGCTCGCGAATCCGTGTGCGACTGCGAAGTGGTTTCGGAGTACTGCGACTGCGACTCAGTGTCCTCGCCAGTTGACTCGGTCAGGCTCGACCCCGTGCCGTGGCGACCGATGCTCGCGATGTGGTCTGGAACGCCCGCCGAAGCAAGCACCGCCGCAGGGTCGGACGGCTGTGCAAGGGGAAAATGCCGCGGCAAGGAGGTAAAGGGAGGTGGTAAATTGAGCTACTAGAACAGTGATATGTGTCGCTAATCAAACAAGGGGGAAGGGTGGAAGGGCGAAAGAGGGAGCTAGAGGGAGAGATAAGAGACAGCGGCAGGTAGTCGGGAAAAACAGAGAGAATTTCCCATTTCTGTATGTGCCATTTTCATTCCCCATCACAGGTTTCTCGTGTAATTCGTGCGTGTATTCTGAACGTAATCGGTGAATGGACTCACGAAGTAGCTCGGAGGGCCGTACGACAGTCCGATTGGGTACGCCGCTGTTCCCCGCGCGCCCCCCTCTCCCACGCCTCCGGCGCCGGGTCCAGCACCGCCGCCGCCGCCGCCGCTCCCGGGCGGCTGTTCAATGTAGAGCTCATCCTTGTGGATCCCCAGCATCTGCTTCTGCTTCTTCTCCCGTTCCTCCCTGAACCTTCTCGAGCCTGCTATTAGCGCGTACTCGCCCATGTCCATGACTTGTCTGCGTTTGTAGCCGCCCGGATAGTAGCATAGCTTAAACCACAAGAAAAGAAGGAGCGTAAAGAAAATGCTCGCCGTGGTTATGGCAATCCCGAGGGGTAGCTCTCCGGGCTTTATAAGCGGCTCGAGGATATCGGGAACGACATCTTGCGCCGACGCCATGCTTTCTCTGGAGTCTTATCTCAGTATTGCATACGATTCAGGTCGTCACTAAGGAGAGCAATCGTTTTTTAACATCAGAGGTACTTATCCTGTCAGAGAATGAATTATAAGGTGACTAATCCTAGTAAGGCTATTCGCATGACTGCTCTGTGGGTAAACGCTCCTCATAATAAAGACCGTACACGCATTATAAATTGCACGGCTTCGCTAGTCAGCGCACACTCAACTTCACGTTTGGAGAAAATGCGAGGAATAACATTGAGTTTTGCTGTTCTGTTCGTAAGTAGTCGAGACGAGAATCAAGCGAAGCGAGCAAGCAAGGAAAATTTCACCAAAGCTGTGGCTGGTGGTGGAGAGAGGTGACAGCAACAGCAAAAAGAATTTCGCGGCTGTAGACATGGAAAAGGGTGGAGCGAGATTTCCGCCCGAGTTCTCGAAAACCAATATGGTAACAACAGTCGTATCGAACCCCAATTTCCCCGTGGCGAATATCGAGAAACTACAGCCACCACTGCTTTTCCCAAGCTGCAACTGGTGTTCCACGCACCCTCACGCCTCCTGTTGTTCCCCACCGAATGTGCGACGCGGGAGTGTTGGGGAGTATGGCGAGTCACTCATTCGTTCGCACCAGGATGTTGCGAATTTGCTGGGTCCATTTGTGCTAGACGAAATTACACATTGAGTTCGCGTACATGTAACCATCCTCGGAATAAAAATCGTCCATCCGGTGTTACACTGTAAATGCTATAGGAAAAAAAACCAACTACCTCAGAAAATAGCCAAGTGACAATTAACCCTCTTAACAAGCTTTTAGGAACCAAGTATACCGTAACAAACGTTCTATTCCACTCCCAACATTCATAACCCTCTTAGATCTCTCTGAACTGAGCCATCGTAGGCAGGTGCCTCCCACACGCCTTGTTCTGGCATCGTTGCTTCCTCGACGAGCTCCTCTCGCCACACACACACTCCTTCACCCACACCCCCCCAGCAATCTGATACGCCCTAAACCCATCCTTCTCCAATACCTCTCCAATCGGCTCCGCATTTTCTTCCTCCCCCGCACTCCCCGACTTTCCCGCCGCATTAGGCGTTGTGTCAGACCCACCAGACCCAGCACTCCCACTGGGATGAACAGTGCCGTCAGCATGAATGCTGTCCGCAGTACTGCCAACAGCAGCACCAGCAGCAATGGTACCGGGAGGAGCAGCAGCAGCAGCACTACTGGTAGCAAGACCTGACTCCAATTCCTTCTTCCCCTCATCATCCACACTCCCGACCCCTTCCTTCTCATTCTTCAAACTACCCACCACTGCTACAGCCTCTGCAGCTGTCAAATCAGCACTCACCCTACCTTCAGCCTCGTTACTGTCAACCCCCTTAGAATCACTCTCCTTACCATCTACCCCCAGACTTGCATTCTTCAACCCCTCTCCCTCACTCCTCTCCCATCTCCCTCTTACCACCCTCTTCTCGCCCCTATCCCCACTCCCACTCCCTACCCCACCCCCATCCCTCCCACTCCACAGCTCTGGCGTTTTCTTAACCCAAGCCGCCACCTCAGCACCCTTGGCCACCAACAGCCTCGGCCGATCCTCATCGCTCTGGAACGGCGACCCGAGCCTAGCCAGCTCCGGAACAACCGCACCTCTCAGATGCCTCTTCCTCGACCTTCCCACCCCAACCTCAATCTCCATTTCACGCGGTAACCGCTTTCCCGCCTCCACCGCCCCTGCGACCAGCTCCAGCCAATAGCGCAGCGCCACCTGTGCGCCGTGATAGGACAACCCTGACAGGTGGAGCGTCCAATGCGGCCAATCGCGCGAGAACAGCCGTGCGATCTGACGCGTGCTGACCATGGCTTTAAGGACCGAGACCGAGAGCTCGCGTCGGTTGAAAAGGAAGAGCAGAGAGAGGAGGTTGTTGCAGAGGGGTTTCTGGTCCCTGCGATGCACGCCTGCTACGGTGCGGTCTAGCAAGGTGGTGAAGGGAGTGATAGGGTCTGCGGTTTGCTCTGTTGCTGGTGATTTTGCTGCTGATTGCATGCCTTCTGCTGCTGCTGCTGCTGCTGCTGCTGCTGCTGCTACTGCTGCTCCCCTCCCCTCTTCCTCATCACCTACCTCATTCTCTAGTGCCTCCCCCAACCCCACCACCACCAGCTCATGGATCCGCGAGTCAACCACTTTCAAGCAGTCCAGTAGAAGCTTCCTCGCAGCTACCATCCCTTGCGTTGCCTGCACAGGAGCATCGGTCCTCACCCCCTCAGTGCTCATTTCTTTGTCAAAATCCTTTTCACGCCCCTCCTGAATCTTTTTAGGGGAGGTGAAACCCAGCAGGTCGAGGAAGACAATGGCAATGTGGGTGTCGGGTTCAATTCCTGCCGCGAGCATTTTCTTGAAGTAGTGTGCTGCGAGGTCGAAGCGGCCCCCCTTGCCGAATCCGTGGATGATTGCCGTGTATACAGCCACTCCTGTCCTTGCTTCGGCTGCTTCTGCTGCTTCTGCTTCTGCTTCTGCTTCTGCTGGTGGTGGTGCTGCTGCTGTGGCTGATGTGGTTGCTGCAGCTGCTGCTGCTGGTGATGGTGATGTTGGTGTGGTTGACGATAATTCTGAAGGGGATTCAGAAGTTACAGGGATCGTAGGAGCCTTGGTAGGCACCGCACTCAACCCACTCAGGTCCACGCCCAAACCAAGATACTCCTCCGAACCTGACCCCCTGATTCGGTCACCGATGCTGCTACGGCCGCCAAGGTAAATTCCGGCTGCTCTTGCATCAGCTAGTAACGCCTCCACCTCTGCTACAGCCGGATCCATGCCAGCCAGCCCTGCTACAGCCGACCCTGCTACAGCCGATGCCGCTACAGCCGACCCGGCATTGCCAGCCTCCCCCCTCTCCCCTCCCCGCCCGCCCTTCTCTGCAAACAGCCCTGCAAGCTGCCTCACGCTGTTCTCAGTGAGAACCACCCCATCCCTCTTCATGCTTGCATACGCCCTCCTTGCCTCCTCCACCAATCCACACTCCCGGCACGCCTGCAAAACCACGCTGTAAAACGTCGCGTCCGGCCGAAACGGCCCGTCTCTCGCGCCCCTCCCGCTCCCGGCCGCCGTCCCGTCCTCGTTATAACCCCGGCTCCCGTCCTCGTTATAAGCTCCCTCGCCAGCGAGATAAACCTCCCGCATCTCCTCGGCGAGAGCCAAGGCCTTCTCCACCTCGCCCTTCTCCGTGTAAAGCGCCATCATTATAGTCACAGCCTCTGTAGTAACAGGTACGTGTGCGTCCTGCTGCATGGTTCGAAAGACGATTTCGGCCTGCTGGTCGCGCCATGCCTTGGCGAGAACGTTTAGGGTTGCGTGGTACACTCCAGGAGTTACCAGCCGTGCGAAAGCTGGTGCTGGTGCTGCTGCTGATGGTGCTGATGGTGCTGCTGGTGCTGCTGATGGTGCTGGTACTGCTGCTGCTGGTGCTGCTGATGGTGCTGGTACTGCTGCTCCTGGCGCTGCTGCTGCACCTGGTCCTGCTGCTATTTTCGCTCCTCCTTCAACTGCTGCATCCTCTGCTGTCTCTTTCGCTGCTGCAGCCATCTCCCTCCCAGAAACAACCCCATCGCTTCCCACCCCAACCCCCTCCTCCTCCCCACCACTCTCTCCCCCACCCCTCTTCCACACACCAGCCCCTCTCACCCCCATCCCCTCATCCACCCTCTTCATCTCCTTCCACAAATCATACGCCTCCTGCGGTCCCCCAGCCTCTCCAAAAGCAGTAATGATGGTGGCGTAGGTGACAGCATCAGGGCGCCACCCTGTGGCTCTCATGCGCTCAAAGAGACGAACAGCATCTCCCGGCCGGCCTGCGCGCCCCAGGGCGTGCATGACTGTGGCGTAGGAGACCTGGTCGGGCATGCACTCGCTCTCAGCCATCTGCTCGAGCCACTGCAGCACCAAATCATGCTGATCCGCCCTGTGCGCATGGGGAGAAAAGGAGGGCAAGAGGGGAGTGAAACCACGGTGAGAAAGTGATGATAGTTGCATAGGTGACAGCATCAGGGCGCCACCTCGTGGCTCTCATGCGCTCAAAGAGACGAACAGCGTCCCCCGGCCGGCCTGCGCACCCCAGGGCGTGCATTACGGTCGCATAGGAGACTTGATCCGGCATGCACTCACTTTCGGCCATCTGTTGCAGCCACTGCAGCACCAACTCGTGCTAGTCCGCTCTGTATGCATAACTCAAATGATAAACTACACTACCTCACACCATACAGTGTGGTGGAGCTAATAATAGAGGAGCAAGTGACGTTATCCAGCTCCACGCCACTTTGAGTCATCTCCGTTATAAGCTCCTTCATTCGCCCCCGCTACCACCAAACTACACTACCTCATACCATACCGTGTAGCAGAGCTGATAATCGTAGAATAAGTGACGTTATCCAGCTCCACCCCCTTTTGAGTCATCTCCGTTAGAAGCTCCTTCATTCGCCCCCACTGCCGCCCCTTCCCCAGCGCCGCCAGCACCAGATTGTAAACGTACGTGCTTGGTCGAAACAAGTCCTGAAAGGAAATGGAGAAAGGGTGGAACGGAGGGGGACAGAGGGGTAACGAAAGGGATGATTGAGATGAGATGCAAGGAGCATTCCCCTCCCTTCCCCAGCGCCGCCAGCACCAGATTGTAAAAGTACGTGCTTGGGCGAAACAAATCTTGAGGAGGGAAAAGAAGGGAGAAGAGACGAAAATGGGGGTGAGAGGATAACCGGATGGGTGGCAAGGAATACTGCCGCCCCTTCCCCAGCGCCGCCAGCACCAGATTATAGACGTACGTGCTAGGCCGAAACAAATACTGAAAACGCAGGGGTGGAGAGCGGTGCAGGGGCCAAGGGACGAGGCGAAGAGGAAAGAGAGGGAAAAGGGGATGAAGATACAATCCCATGGGCAGCAAGGGAACACAGCCGCCCCTTCCCCATCGCCGCGAGCACCAGATTATAAACGTACGTGCTTGGGCGAAAAGACTCATGATAGGGAGGGCAGTGCGGAGGGGTGGGGAGGGGAGAAGGGGGAAAGGAGAGGGGTGACTAAGATGTGCAGCAAGGGAACACGGCCGCCCCTTCCCCAGCGCGCGAGCACCAGATTATAAACGTACGTGCTGGGGCGAAAAGACTCTTGGAAGCGCAGGAGCGGAGAGCGGAACAGGGACAAGGGACGAGGCAAAAATGGGGGTGGAGGAGAGGGGGAAAGGAAGAGGGGAAGGAAGGGGAAGGGGGTTGAGGGTATAAGCAGATGAGGCGCATCAAGCACGGTCGCCCCTTCACGATGAAAAAGTGCCGTGTGCCATTGTAACGAGGTGACTTTTGAGTCGACTCAAAAGGGGAAGGGGGTTGAGGGTATAAGCAGATGAGGTGCATTAAGCACTGTCGCCCCTTCACTAGCGCCGTCAGCAGCAGCAAATCACAGGCATATGTGCCGGGTCGAGGGGACACTTTTTGAGGTGCCTAAAAAATCACAGACATATGCACCGGGTCGAAAGGGCACCTGAGGGGCGCACAGGAGCCTATTCGAAAATCCTCAGCACCTCAAAATCTTAATACTCCTTAACAGAATCGACACTCAAAATCTTAATACTCCTTAACAGAATCGACACTCAAAATCTTAATACTCCTTAACAGAATCGACACTCAAAATCTTAATACTCCTTAACAGAATCGACACTCAAAATCTTAATACTCCTTAACAGAATCGACACTCAAAATCTTAATACTCCTTAACAGAATCGACACTCAAAATCTTAATACTCCTTAACAGAATCGACACTCAAAATCTTAATACTCCTTAACAGAATCGACACTCAAAATCTTAATACTCCTTAACAGAATCGACACTCGAAATCTTAATACTCCTTAACAGAATCGACACTCGAAATCTTAATACTCCTTAACAGAATCGACACTCGAAATCTTAATACTCCTTAACAGAATCGACACTCAAAATCTTAATACTCCTTAACAGAATCGACACTCAAAATCTTAATACTCCTTAACAGAATCGACACTCAAAATCTTAATACTCCTTAACAGAATCGACACTCAAAATCTTAAGGCCGCCCATCAGCAGCGGACCACCACCCAGAAGCTCTTGAGCCGCTGCTGAAGGTCTTGGACCACCACCTAGAGGTACACACAGAGGCTCTTGGGCCTGCGTGTGTACCTCTGGGTGCTAAAGGCTTGGACCACCACCCAGAGGTACACACAGAGGCTAAGAGGCGGCGGCGGCGTGTGTGATAAGTCGATTTTTGAGTCGACTGGAAAATCGACTTATCACACACGGCTGCTGAAGGTCTTGGACCAACACCCAGAGGTACACACAGAGGCTAAGAGGCGGCGGCGGCGCGTCTCTCGTCTCTGATCGATTCAGAAATCGGCGGAGCGTCTCGCAGTTGTTTTGAGACGTCCCGTCCCTCCACCTCAGCATCTCACACACACACACGTCTGCCTTACACCTGCTTGCACCGATCCACACCTGACTGCACCGACTTGCATCACGCTAAACCTCCTTGCACTGAGCCGTACCTGTTTCCTCGCCCAATCAAAGAACGCCACGGTCATGCGCCAGTCCGCCGATTCTCGCAGCACCGTCGACACGTCCCTCCCCGTCAGCGTCAGCCCCAGGCGCTCCAGCCGTTCCGCCACCCGCCCACTCCCCCCATCCTTTCCGCCACCTTTCCCCCCATCCCCTCCCCCATCCTTCCCGCCGTCCTTTCTCCACTGATCCACGACTAATCCGCGCCGATCCGCCCCGCTCTCCTGCGCCAGCACGTCCAGAACCTGCACCACGCGCGGCGGAAAGAACCCGCGCGCCCACGCATCTCCCCCTTCCGCGCCGTCGGAACCAGAAGCGGAAAACGGAGCACTTCGTATCGGGTCAGATCTCGGTGCGGCTGGAACAGCACGGTCCGTGGCGCGCGAGCGAGCAAACTGCGGGTTATTCAGTTCCCTCGGCGAGGCGCCTCGAGGATTCCCGTCAGCGCGTCTATAGACGTCCTTACGTTTGCTCCTCTCGGAAGAGCTAGAGGAGCGACTCCAGGAACGATCCGCAGTGGAACGATTCGCAGCGGAACGCGCATTTTCCCGCCTCGTGTCTCCTCCGCTAGCCCCACTGACTCGACCGCCGGTTCCGGCGCGACTCCAGGCGCGATTCTCCAGGCGCGATCTGCTAAACCCGTCCTGCCGTTGATTCCTATCAGATCTGCTAAACTCGTCAGACGATCCCTTAGAACTTCGCTCAACATTTCGCTCAGACTTTCGCTCGCTGTCTGGTGAACTCTCGACGCTCGCTCTCGCTCCGGCAGTCTCGTCCCCGTTAGAAGTCGCAGGTGTTGTCCCGTTAAGAGATATCAAATCAGAAACCGCTACTCCAGTCGAACCGGACTCCCCCGATTCAGTCACACTGGCCCGTGTAGTCACATTCCGTTCAGTAACGCGGGTTTTAAACACTCCAATTCTAGCAGGCTGCACGAGAGGACGCAATAAAGCGGTACGATTGAAAGCAAGCGAAGCCGTCGAATGTCGCAGGCTCGGGTTATCCAATGACGTGATGTAACCTGGTAACAGAAGCACTCCTCGCGAAAGAACAAAGGCCCCAAAAGGAGCCATTTTGCGTTAATAACCCAAGCGCACTAAGCGATTCCACGGGAAATCGGGCGCGACGCAGGAAACAGCAACGCGTAGAACTCTACCGCATTCGTAGTCGCATCAGCAGAGCTACGTCTACGAATATACGAATGAGCTGAGCGGCTGCTGAATAAGAGGTTTAGGAAGAGGACGACGGTAAGTGCAGAGGGAGAGTAACCTAGTTCCAGATTTCACGAGGGATTTCGGCGGTAACTGCAGGTTAGGTTCCAGATTTCACAACCGCGGTAACTGCAGGTTCGAGGAGGGAAAACCATTCATTACATGGGAATTACATAGTGTCAGATATGATTGTTAACCTCACAAGTGCTGAACAATTGTATTGTACCTATCCCCAACTACTGGTACTCCTTTCAAACATCGGAATTAACAAGGCTCCTTTCAATAAGAGCTATGCACTGACCAACGGACCGACCATCCAGCATGGCAATAGCCAACTCTTCATGCAGGTCTTTGTGGCGCCGCATTATGGTTGACACGTTCAATACTGCCCACCGCACCACATCGTCTGACTTACTCTGCGTGAATCCCAATGACTTGTACAAAAAGTCCAACTGCAAACAAGAAGGCCAGTTCAGACAAGAAAGAAAGAAATGTGAACGGCGCACGAGACATACGCGCATGTGAAAAGACTCGCACAAAGAGGTAGTAACATACCCGAAGAAAATATATGGTAGCTAGTGGTTATAAACTTTACTGACACTTCAAGAATTCGCTACCTGTTGAATGTCAGAAATGCCGCCCTCTGCAACCCCGAATTGCAGGTACTCCGCACAAACTCCAGCCAGAGCCACACACGAAACGGCATCCAGCATCTGGAGCATGCCCACAGGGAGAGAGGAGGGACAACAGAAAGATGGAAATAATATGCAGAGACTAAGAAAATGGGCCCATCACACGGAGAAGACACACAGGAAGACATGAAGGCACTCCACCCAGAGCCACACACGAAACTGCATCGAGCAGCTGAAGCATGGCCGCAGGGTGATAAGGAGGGACAGAGGTGAACAAGTGGCAGGCATGCTGACTGAGAAGGCACCACTGGCTCAAAAACAGGAGATCTAACAGGAGATCTGAGTGGGACATGCTGAAACGCCTATCTACTTTGTATATAGAACAATCAGGGTAATTTTTTACGAGCTGATTTTGGAAACAGAAGTATTACTGCTTCTGAAAGCTGAGCTGCAATTAGGTCGTGCTTGCAGGATATATGATTAGATGTTAAAGCTGTCTGCTTCTGAAAGTCCAAATCCAGGACGGCTTTTAGGCTGGAGAAAATCGATTCTTACATCGGATTTGATTTGGCGTGTCCTTGTCTGCTTCTGGAAATCCAGATCCAAAAAGGTGGTGCCGGCTTGCACGTTGAGCGCCCCGTAGCGCTGATAGGCGTCCAGACTGGAGAGAGTGAAGCTGCGTGGGGGGATGCCCACCAGGTAGGATACGAGGAAATGGCCCGCCTCGTGCTGTGACGGGTGGGACGGGGAGAGATGGGAGCGAGGTGGGGAAAATAGAACAGATGGTAGGAGACGCAAAAATGCCCTGGCTTGTGCTGTGGGGACGGGGGCAGGGAGAGAGAGCGGAGAGGAAGGTGGTGCCTGCCTGCACTTTGAGCGCCCCGTAGCGCTGATAGGCGTCCAGACTGGAGAGAGTGAAGCTGCGAGGAGGAAATGGCCTACCTCGTGCTGTGACGGGTGGGAGAGGGGTGCAAGGAGGGACAGATCACATCGGAGAGAGGGAATTTGCATGGGGGGATACCCACCAGGTAGGAGATGAGGAAACGCCCTGCCTCATGCTGTGGGGTGGGAGAGGGGTGGGGGATGCCCACCAGGTACGAGATGAGTAATTGTCCCGCTTCGTGCTGTGGTGGGAGGGGGGTGCGAGGTAGGATAAGAGAATGAAGGAGGTGGGAGGTGGGAAGGTGAGAGATTGAAGCCGGGGGGGGGGGGGGGGGGAAGCCCACCAGGTAGGGGATAACGAAATGTCATGCCTCATGCTGTAATAAGGGAGGGGGTTCTGGGTGGGATATCGGAGGTGGGAGGTGGGAGGTGGGAAGGTGAGAGAGTCAAGCCGGGAGGGGGATGAACATCAGGTAGGATATAAGGAAATGCCATGCCTCATGCTGTGGGAAGGGAGGCGGGGTGAGAGGTGGGATAGGTGGGACGGTAGGATAGGTGGGACGGTAGGATAGGTGGGACGGTAGGATAGGTGGGACGGTAGGATAGGTGGGACGGTAGGATAGGTGGGACGGTAGGATAGGTGGGACAGGACAGACAGTAGGACGGAGATGAGAAAATGGCCCGCCTCTTGTCGCCGGATGGGATGGCAGTGAGAGTGAGAAGGGAGACGAGAGGGGAGAGGCAGAAAAGACAGAAAGGGTAGCATTTGCACGGGAAGAGGATGGGGCTGCTGTAGTATTGGAATGGGGTATGCTATGGACAAAACCAACATGTCATTACACAGCTGTATGATTGGAATGGGGCAAGGGGGAAGAGGAGTTGAGAAGGTGCAATTACCATTAGGCGTAACAGGGCATGCTATGGGCAAAATCAGCATTTCATTACACAACTGTATGGGTGGAATGGGGCAAGGGGGAAGAGGGGTTGGAGAGGTGCAATTACCACTAGGCCTAACAGGGCCTGCTGAGCGCAAGACCATCACGTCATTACGGAGCTATACCGACAGGAACAAAATGTCGAGAGTGGGATTTGAACCCACGCCCTTTCGGACTGGAACCTTAATCCAGCGCCTTAGACCAACTCGGCCATCTCGACATACTATAAGGGAAAGCTTTCTTTATTTAGTCTAGTAAATCATTTCTTATTCTTTACTTCAGAATTTAACTTTCTTTTCTTAATATTTATAATCATATCTTTTGTATTAAAAAAAAAAAAAAAAAAACTTCTCCAATCCTCTCCCCTCCTCCATCTCCTCTTCACTCCTCCCAAGTCTGCAGCATCTATGCACCACCAAATGTTTCCACGAACCCACTCACCATCCATCACACATCACCATCACACTCACCAGAGCAACTCGTCTGCGATACGTGGGTTTCAGCAGATTCCCCAAGGTGTCCACTAATAGAGCCTCGCCACCTCCACCAGTTGAAATCTGATTGGACAGTTGAGTTCACAGTCTGATTAGAATGACTTGTAACGGGTAAACCAACCAGTAGAGAGTGATACATAGTTTCCCAACGACCTGCAAAGCAATAGTAAAACCTGATGCAATAAGATGCTTTTAGTAGATTTAAACACTGTGGATAAGGAGAATTGCCTTCATGAGCTTATATCCATAATATCCAAATGGGACACTCCCCCAGAAAGTTACAGTCAGCCGCCCATAACCCACTGGCTAAAGTGGCATACCTGGTCTACAGTGCCGATGAACAGTAACCCTATGACCAGCCCCAGCAGTTGCCATTGGTCCAGGTGCTCGCCCCACCACGTGGCAACCAGCCCTGCGAGCAGCGCCAGCTGGCCTCCCTGCCTGACACCCGCGAGAGTGGTGTCTCTGGGCGCCAGCATGCGAGCAGGGTCTATGTAGTGTAGCTTTAGCTCCTCTATCGTGTAGGACCGGCGGGGAACCTGGTGATGGGAGGAAGGTGGGTGAATGGGGGCAGGTTAGAGAGGAAGGAGAAGGGTCTACGTAGTGCATGTTCTATGTAGTGCAGCTTCAGCTCCTCTATCGACTACGACCTCCAAGGAACCTGGTCATAAGAGGGAGGAGGGGCGGGGAGGGGGAAAGGGGGATGGGGAGGAGCAGATGGTGTTGGCTGGGTGTCAGCGACTGGCTCTCGCCAGCTAGCATGCGAGCAGGGGCGCAAAAAAAAATGGGACGCCAGAGTGGTGTCTCTGGGCGCCAGCATGCGAGCAGGGTCTATATAGTGCAGCGTCGACTCCTCAAGGGAGTAGGATCGCCTGGGACCCTGGTCATGAGAAAAAATAAAGGGGAAAGGGAGGGGAGGGAGAAGGGGAAGCAGCCCATTTGTTAGTTAGCATTCAGCACCCTCTAGGCGTCAGCATGCGAGCAGGGTCTATGTTGTGCGGCTTCAGCTCCTCTATCGTGTATGTCCGTTGTGAGAAAGGAGGTGTGTGCCGAGGGTGGGAGAGGGCGGAAGAGAGGGTTATGTAAAGCATGGGAAGGGTGTAAAGAGGAGCAGGAGAGCGCATGGGAGGAACGCGGAGTGAGTGGCGTGGCTCCAGAGCGAGCGCAGGAGGATCTATACAGTGTAGAGAAGATCTTAGGCGAGAAGATACGATCTGACAGTTAGGACATAGCTTATATAGAATTAATCCCTGCGACGCGGGAATCATACGCGGGATACAGGAAACCTGTGGATATAGTCAGAATTAGAACCATCCCTCACCTGTCTAGCCGCACCGAAGGCTCTCAGAACCTTCCCGTCCGCATCTTGCGGGCCTGTACCGTCCACAGCCTCGTTCGACCCCCTAGGTTCATCGGATTCACTGAATTCACCCGTTCGTCCAGCGAGCCGCTTCACGAGCGCCAGCGCCTGCTCCTCCTTGCCTTCCGCCAGCAGCGCGTCGAGCTCCGCCGTTCCGCGGCTCAACCGCGCCTCCCACGTGTCACTCGTGAAACTTCCGTCCCGCGATTCAGAAACCGTCTGAGACCCTCTGCTTGCAGCTCGAGCAGAAACTGATAGTCGTTTGCGAGAATTGGGGCTTCGAAAAAGCGCTGAGATCAAGGGGAAACCACGTGTCCGTAACTGATGTTTGATACTATCAGAAGCGGTGCGTCTCCTCTGGAATGGAACGACAGGGATTCCAGACGATGGACGTGTGAGCCTGAGAGAGTTTCCACGGAGAAAGGCCGGCCTGGTCAGGCTAACCCGCAAACCCAGCGAATCCATTATCCTACGAGGTAAAGAACGATGTATTACTAGAACAAGATAAGCCTTCACCTTTCAAAGAAGATCTAGTATCTAGGCTGGAGAGAACATTGGGATTCGACTTTGCTGAATGAGCTGAGTTCGAGTGTGGGCTTGCATGCGTTCCTCGTTTGGGAAAGATGCGATAGGGTAAAGGGCCAGTGAAACACTTTCGGATACAACCAATCGCACTAGCGCGTTCCATGGGTAGAAATTCGCGCATGTGCGCTTCTAGAAGCAGTGCCTCGTGGTTGCTTGTGAAAATGCCACGCATGGCGCCAGGTCAGAAGCAAGCTTCATGAAATTCCTCGTTATTAGTTTCACACGTTCCCTCAAAATAGATATGATTTATGGAACTGTATGTTCATTTTACATTGGATAATGTTCAGCCTTGGTGGTTTGGGCTACGGCTAGTGACTGCTCCAGCCTAATGGGGCTTGTTCCATTTTCGAACCAGAAACTCTTTATCCGCTCGTTGGCGCTGACACGTCACACCTCATCAGCACCACTTCAAAAACGGGAGGCAGGTCCCTCAGGCGTTTCCCGCCTCCGCTAGCGCCTTATAGCTGGGGAGCATTCTCAGTTCTAGCTGTCAACCATTCATACGTGATCGTGATGACAAGGACTTTGTGGGCCACTCTATGGACAGTGCCTCGAAGACATGTGTGTTCTACCCCCAGTAATCGAAGCTCGAACAATGTCATTGGCTGAAAAATATGAACCACTCAGTCTCACGTGGTGCCACGCAATTAGCCAACGAAAGACGTTTCGCATGCTATTCACCGCGTGTGGCTCTGAATGAAGGAGCTTTATGATTCGTCGTCACGCTAGTGGCTCATCTGCACTGAAAAGCCGTTCTGCTTGATCTAGCAGCTCCCGAAGTTATTCCAAGCCCCCCTGCCATTGGTGTAGGGCCTCGCGCAAGGTAGCGATGGGGGAGCGCTTTGCGCGGACCAGGACGACGAGGCGCGGACAGACAGGGAAAGGGGCCAGCGGACCTAGTCGAGACGCGCAGGGCGCAAAGCAAGCCCCCCTGCCCCTCCGAATCGCGCCACGCAAATGCGATGCAATGCATTTGTGTGGAGTTGTGAATGGGGAGCAGGGAATGTGCAAAACGGTTCATCCCGTCTCCAATGTTCCGCAACACCAGTGAGCTGTTGGCAGTGTGAATGTAGTATTTATCCACTCACTGCCGCCATTCACTGCACACTCCTATTCACTGCTCACACTCCTTGTGGTCTTTAAAGTGCTGCCGGCCTCCCACCCCTGGCTGCCTTACACAGCGCTCTTGCTTCGGCGACTTGAGTCCCTCTTTCCCAGATTTTTGTGCGTCGAAGCAACAGCTGATCAGTGAAAGGCCGAGCTCTGAATTGATCGACATGGCTACCACGATAAACGACCTCCCTGAGAACTGCATCGCCACTATTCTTTCCTTCCTCACTCCAGCGACTGTTGGTCGCGTCGCGTCAGTCTCAAAGCTCTGGTTATCAGCTGCCAAGTCGAGCACCTGCTGGGACCAGCTCATCGCAAACGGCCTTCCATCATGCTTTCGCGAAACTCCCGCGGCCCTCGCGAAAGATGAGAGGGGCCTTCGTGAAGCTCTCGGCGAAGGCCTAATGCTCGACGACGGGCGTTACCACATCCAGGTTGACCCTGCGACGTCGCTCATCACCGTGAGCGTCAGCGTCGCGCAAGTCTTCGAAATTCTGTGGGAGGATCGCGACCAGGATCGCATGCGACGGCACGACATCACCGGTGCGATCTTCGGCGACGAATCGCAAGGAATCGTCGTCCATTGGCTGAGCACCTGCGGGAAGATCGATCTCCCGTTTAAACTCCACAGCGGATACTACCGCATATCGTGGCGCGTCGCACAGGAAGAGGGCGGGCCGCGGAGGTCTACAAGCCCGAAACGCAGATTTATGCGGTCCCAGGAAGAGCCGTTGATCAGTCAAGTACGCGACGCGACGACTGGACTCGTGGAGCAGCACGATCTTGACGGCATCCGCCAATGGATTTCAACCACGCCCACGTGGACTCGCATGCCCGCGGGGTTTCTTCGAGTTGGTGACGGAGGAGCTTCGGGCAGTGCGTCGTCGCAATTCGCGAACGTTCGCTTGATTTCGACACTGACGGATATTTCGCGACAACGGCGGAAGCGTGGTCTGTACCTGGACGCGTTCGTATTAGAGCAGATTTCTATGTAACCTCAATTTTTGAAGCAGCGTCTCGGATTCGATTGGCTTCCACCTGAAGTGGCGTTGTACTGCCCAGAAACGCGCGAAAAGTGGCGCGGTGGGTCCTGCTTCGCACGGCATGGTTACCACTTCGTCGGTTCTGCGAATCGACCACCCGAGTGAGTTCAGCAGTGTGGATGTGCGCATCCCATAAATCTCTGAACGCGATAGGGATGAACAGCCTTTTTTCATAATCATCAGTGGGAATGGAGAGGCGTGAATGGGGGAATGTTGGCGAGGGGAGGAGGGGGGGTGGGGAATGGACACGGGGTTGCGGGAGAAGGGGCATCGAGAGGGAAAGCCGCGATAGCCAAAAGCACAGAAAGATGGTCGGATTTACCAGACTTCAGATCAGTAGGCCATATCATGAGGCGTGACCAGGCGAAAGTACTTCCGTTTGGGATTAGAGAAATGTCAATGTGCGAATCAGGGAGCGCGAAGTACGGAGGGAAGTAGCGAACGGGAAGCAGAGAGATGGTTCATGCTGCGGTGTGGCGATCGGCACAACTGAGTTGATACTCCAGCAGCGGACGAAGGGGCGTTGTCATGCCAGCGCAAGTTCTTTAAGGCTTTCGCAATTAAGGTCCTGGGAAAAAAGACAACAAACGAGAGTCAATCTTGGGTTCAGGAGATGGTGATTTGGATTACCATAAGTGAGGTGCTCCAGAGAACAATGGCGGAGGCCGTCGCTGCAGAGCGACGGGTAGTTTCACGGAGTAACGACTTTCTGGAGTTCTTGGGGAGGAAGTTCTGTGTGTCGTCGGCAAAAGTCGATCTGTTATTTCGTGAAAGCGGCATGGTGGTGAATTGCTTCGCGCAACACTCACGACCCCGTGGTGTCGTGGGGTGGATGTCCGAACCGACGTCCATCCGTGGTGGGGGACTGTGGTGTGGAGTCCACTTCAATCCGAAGCAGAAATTGGAGGGGGTGGCTGATTTGCCGAGCCAGCAGGTACAGTCGGCCACCGTCAAGATCCGTCAGCAGCAGCAGACGTCAGTCATGCACTGCATTCGGAAAGTTCATCCTCGGTATTATCGCAGTGTGTGTTCTGTACAGTCTAACCCAGGTGGCGAAGTCACCTACCAAGCAGCTGACTTCAGTTGTTCAAATAGGGGTTTTGGAAGGGTTTACTGGTTTCTCTCTGTCTTTGACACACTTTTAATAATGTGCGCTGAATTTATCAACTATAGAGGTGCTCAAGCAAATGCAGTCATATCACAATCATGGCCTATGATTCACTTTTAGGCACGTCAATGCATCAGGGTCCCTCCTTCTGTAGAATCCCTGATCTGATGGGTTGAAAAAGCCCTTAGGATTTTTGCAGAGGTGAATTCTGGGTAGAGTTGATGTAGTAGCGGAAGCGTCTTAATAAAGAGTTTGTGAACCACCTTGCGCTAGTATGTGAGGGCAAAGTAAATTAATTAAAGCAAAGAGATACAAGATTATATATGAATACAAAGAATATGAAGAGACACGGTTATAACTACTTAACTATTGCTGTTGCGGTTCGATACAGTGACGACTCGGGCAACTGCTCTGTAACGAGTCAGTTGTATGTCCTTGCTGTCGCGCTGCATTTGTCAGGTCAAAGGTCGCTGACCTTCGACTTTCGCGTAACCACCAGCGGTTACTTCAACCTCCGAGGGTTGACTCGCTGGTGCCTCGATATGCTCTGCTTCGTTTCTGCCTTAGTGTTTCGACACGACAGAGGCGCTTAGGAACTATTGTTTCCAACACTCCCCTTCGATTCTGGAGTGTCGCTGACGTGGCTCTGTCCAGACAGCAGCATGCAATATTCGAACTTCTGTTTTCCGAGCTTCTTGGTCAGGTAATCATCTGCCATCTCGGACGTGGGGCAGTATGACAGCTCAAGCCTTCCTTTCTCGATCTCGTCCTTCACGAAGAAATATCGTAGGGCGATGTGTTTCGTTCTGTTCGCGAAGCCGTTCTTGTTGACGATGCGAATTGCCGACTGGTCGTCGCAGAACAGGGTGAAGTTGTGTAACTCGGCTAACTTCGCTTCTTCCAGTAGCTCGCGAAGATAGAGTCCTTCCTTGGTGGCTGAGCAGAGTGCAATATATTCTGCTTCAGCTCACGAGAGAGCAATTAGTTCTTGCTTGCTCGATTGCCGGGAGATAAGCCCGATAGGCTCGAGACGGTAGATGTAGCCGGTGCGTGATTGCCTGTTGTCGGAGTCGCCAGCGTGATCTGCGTCGACGTAGCCAATTAGCTTAGGTGTTGTAGTTGCGTTCTTATGATAAGTCAGTCCGACCATCGGGGTACTGACAAGGTAGTGAAGAGTGCGGTCGAGCTCCGCCAGATCTTTCGCTTCAGGCCTCTTGAGGTAGGTGGCGAGCTGGCTTGCAGAGTAGGATAGATCTGGGCGGCAGGTGACAGCTGCGAAGAGAAGGCAGCCCAGCTTTCTCTAGTAGTCGCGGATGCCGGCGGGCTTGAGTAGAGCGGAGCCTTCCTTGTTGCTTACTGTCGTGTAGCGTTACGGTGTAGAGATAGCTGTTGGTGTGAGTGCGAAACGTTTGGCGATGGTGTCGGCGTATTTCGTGGCGCTGAGGTAGATAGCGTCTTCTTCTTCTCGGATGTTGAGGCCGAGGTACTGTGTGACGGTAGGTGAGACTGTGAATGTGAGGTCTTGTTGTAGCTCCCCTTCGAACCAGGTTGTAATACCTTCGGTTGAGCCAATGTAGAGTAGGTCATCTACGTAGACGATTAGCAGGACGTAGTCGGTACCCTTCGAGAGCCGGTACATGCCCTGGTCGTGCGGTAGTTGCTTGAAGCCGATGCGAATGAGGCGAGCGTGTAGGTATTGTTGCCATAGTCGCGGGGCTTGCTTGATGCCGTAGAGTGACTTGAGTAGTTGACAGACGTGTTTCGAGTCCGTGCTGGAGCCGTGTGGTAGCTCGACGAAGATCTCGGCGTCAACGGGTGCGTAGAGGAATGCATTAGCGACGTCGATTTGCCTTAGGTTCTTCTTCTTCATGGCGGCGATCGCGAGAAGGATGCGTAGCGAGGTGTGTCGGCTGACTGGAGCGAATGTTTCGATGAAGTCGCGGCCGTGCTCTTGGTCGAAGCCACGAACGACCCAGCGTGCTTTGAATTTGTCGATGGTGCCATCGGCCTTTGTCTTCACACGGAAGACCCAATTTCCGATGAGTACTGTCTTGTTCCGTGCCAAACCGATAAGAACCACCTTCCACGTGTTGCGTTCCTCCAGTGCCTTCAGCTCCTTGTCCATGGCTTCGCGCCATTTTTCTTTATGTTCCCCCCCCAGAGCCTGCTGAACCGTCGCAGGCTCTTTAGGAGCGACGGAGCCGTGGAGTGCGGTGACGAGCCCGAGGATCTGCAATCCACTCTGTGAGTAGCGGGGAAGATTTACATCCTTGGGATAAGCTCCTTCGTCTCCCGTTTCTGGATCAGGTATGAAATTTGGTCCTACTCGTTCTGCTTCGTTGGTGTTGACTTTCGCAGGTGTTACGTAACCGTTGTCGGCGAAGTGGTAGAAGGTTTCGGCGTTGACACTTTCGTGAGGGTTGTCTTCGTCCATGGGAACGTCGACGGAGCTGAACGGAAGAGGTCCGGCTTCTTCTGATGCGTTGTCCACATTCTGCTCGTCCCAGTCTGCTTCGTCCGCTGCTGAGGCGAAGGCTCGGTCACTACGAAGGCCAGCCGAGGGGTCTTCGTCTTCTTGCAAGTTGGCAAGGTACGTCTGGAGCGTGAGTCGTTCATAGAAAATTATGTCACGTGCTGCTACTGTTTCCTTGGAGTGGACGTCGTAGATTTTCCACGCGTTGTAGTTCTTTTCGATTCCCAGTCTAGTCCCCACGGTGCTCGTTGAGAAAATCGGCCCGCTCGTGCTGCTGGGGGTCGGTACTGTACCATGTGTCAGAATGTTATCTTATGCTCTAGCATGTAGTGGGGTGCTCTATAGCGAGTACAACCCTTCTAGGGTTTGCTATTTGTATCCTCATTCTTGCTAGTTCAATCCTCTTCTCTTTTCTAAACTTTAACATGCTATCAGAGCAGTTCGATCCCATTGGATCGATCCTGTGGGTGGGTTACCACCTCCTCGCTTCCGCTGCAACTTTTTCTTCCCGCCGTGCGCCCCGAGGCGCGCGGCGGTTTTCTGCCCGCCGTGCGCCCCGAGGCGCGCGGCGGTTTTCTGCCCGTCGTGCGCCCCGAGGCGCGCGGCGGTTTTCTGCCCGTCGTGCGCCCCGAGGCGCGCGGCGGTTCTCAGCCCGCTGTGCGCCCCGAGGCGCGCGGCGGGCTTCTGCCCCGTCGTTCGCCGCGTCGCCCTCTGGTGGCGCCGCGACGGGCGACGGGGACCCGTCGCGGCCCCGCCGACCCACTTCGCGGCCCCGCTGCCCCATTTCGCGGCCCCGCCACCCTACGTTCGCGGCCCCGCCGCCCCACTTCGGGGCCCCGCCGCCCTTCTGTCGCGGCCCCGCCGCCCCAACTTCGCGGCCCGGCCGCCCTACACCTGCGGCCCCGCCGCCCTACTTGCGCCCCGGCCCCTTTTCCCGTCGCCTGTCGAGGCGACCCTCGG